TTTTTTAAAAAGTGTCATTCTCACATGATTCAATACTTCCTTTCATTTTGGCTCTACCTCCTCCACTTTACTGAAACTCCTTCTGAAAAGTTCATAAATGACCAACTTTGTGCCAGATTAAAAGAATTATTTTCCATTTTCCTTTTGTCTAGCTTTTCAGCAGACTGACCATTCTTGAGTTTTAGAAAAAGCTGCCTCCAGCCCTGTGATGCCACATTCTCCCACGTTTCTCCCACCTCAGCAGCTGCTCTCTGCTGCCTTCTGTGCTGGGTTTTCCTCCAGCCCCACCTCTAGACTTACTATTTTTCAGGGCTTGATTTTGGTCCTTCTTTTCTGGGTATATTTTCTTTCTAAATGGTCTCATCCATCCCCGACTTTAAATGGTATGTATATTCAGGGGCACTTGGGTGGCTCAATCTGTTAAGCGTCTGCCTTCAGCTCAGGTCGTGATCTCAGGGTCCTGGGATCGAGCCCCACGTGGGGCTCCCTGCTCAACAGGGAGTCTGCTTCTCCCTCTGCCTCTCCCCCCTACTCTTGCTCTCTCTCTCTCAAATAAATAAATAAAATCTTAAAAAAAGGTATGTATATTCTGATGACCAGTTTTTTTAATCTAAAATCTAAACAGTGACTCCAAATTTATAAATCCAAAGGCTACCTGACATTTCCTATGAATATTTCACAGGTATTTTAACCTTAATGCATCTTAAATGGAGTTCTTGACAACCCACCCAATTTACCTTTCCTTTTGTCTTTTTTTTCTTCCTATTGTAGCACACAGCACCAATATCTTCCCAGGTATTTAATCTTAAAACCCGGAATTTACCTTCATTCCTCTTTTTATTCATCTACCTCAATCAAACCACATACAAATTCTGTCAGTTCAACTTTTAAAATGTATTTGAATTCATCAATTTTTCTCCATCTCTGCCACCACTACCCTAGTCCAAGCATCGTTCACCTGGACTCCTACAATGAATTCCTAACTTATAATAAATTCCTTTCCTTCCTCCAGTCCGGTGTATTCATGACATTATTCAAGAGATATTATTTCTGTTTTGGAATTGGGACTCTTCCAACCGGATAGCGCCCTGGGACTAGAATCCAGAAATCACATAATGCTGGACCTGAACAAGATGTATGTATCATTTAATCTACACCCTACAGCAATAAGGATTGTCTAGGTTATGCTGGAGTACTTTTTTAAAAAACCTCAGACCTCAGTGGCTTAAAGCCTCAAAGAATTCTTCATGCTCAACTAGACAACCATTATGGGATGATTGGGGGCTGTGCTCTGATCCTCATCCCAGGACTCATCCTGATAGAGTTGCCACTGCCTGGAATCTTGTCAGTCATCATAAATGAGGGAAAGAGAGCTGGAGCCAATCACACATTGGTTCTTAGCACTTTCCCACAAGTGACGTATGTCACTTTTAATCAGTTTCTTTGTCCAAAGCAAGTTACATGGCCACACTTAAATTATAAGGGTGCAAGGCAGTGCAATACTTCCATGTGCCCAAATGGAAAACTGAAAATATTTAGTGAATAGCTCGAATGGCTAACTCATCCTTATATTTTATAGATGAAGAAATTGGGACCTGGAGAGATTATGTCACTTGTAACATCAAGCTGATTTATGTCATAGCCAAAACTAAAACTGAGTCTTGAATTCACTCTCCAGTGCTTAATAATGAACCCGGAACTCCTTGCTCTTTACTTCCAATAAAATTAATCTAAATGCCATAGGGCGCCTGGGTGGTTCAGTCGGTTAAGCGTCTGACTCTTGATTTCAGCTCAGGTCATGATCTTGTGGTCGTGGGATTGGGCCTTGTGTCAGGCTTGGCGCTTGGCATGGAGCCTGCTTAAGATTCTCTCACTCCCTCTCCCTTTACCCCTCCCCCACAAATAATAATAATTAAAAAAAAATAATTTACATGTCTTAATATCAACATTTTATTTATTTACATAATATAAAATCCTTGCATTGAAATAGTTTCTTCCCTCTGCCTTCCCTCTTCCCTAAGTATAAAAGTATAAAACTCAGACAAGTCAGGGTCCTTGTCCTCTAGTCTCACTCACGTTCTAGCAAAATGCTCCAGTGATGAAACACTCAAAATCTCTCTAACCTGTCTTCTCTCAGTGCCAGAAAAACTAAGTCATGTTTTATGTTTGAGATTCTAAACATGTAGGTAAAAAATGCAAAGAGATAAGCAAGAGAACTATGAATCTATATACATGCAACCAAGCACTGTATGTCTGTCGAATCCGTTAGAAATGTATTCCCAACAAAAACTCAACTAAGAATGGTTTTAGGAAGAGAGGTTTATGGTACTATCATAACAAGAAGTCTACAGGTAGTTGGCTGCAAGTATTGGTTCAGTAGCTCAATGGTATCAAAGCTCATAGTTCTTTTGGTCTTTTCTCATGGACACAGGGTGGTTGCAACTGCTCCCTGAGAGCAAGTTTAGACAAAAGGGGAGGATTGAAGCCAGCTGTGACAACAGCCCCGAGAAGCAAAACTTCCTCAGAATCAACACACTGCCCTCTGTTCTAGCAGACGGCCCCTGAGGTCTCATTTGCCAGGCCTGGGAATACACGGACACCCCTAGCAGCAAGAGGGCCTGGAAAAATAGGGAACAAAATTATCATTATGATTGGCCAAGCCTAATTCTGCCTTGAACAAAAAATGTGTTCTTTTGGCAAGGAATGTCGTGGGAGTAGAATGTGCTAGGATGAATATTAAAGCAACTCACAATGTCCACCTCAATTGTTGATTGATTAAAAGGCAGTATTATTTTTAAAGTTAACATGGAAACTTTTATTAAAAAAACAAAATATGTATTTACTACTGAATCCATAATAGCAATATTATGTACCTTCTCAATTGATAAAATTTAAAAATACAATAAAGCTAGTACAGTCAGTTCTGCTATAATGCTTGTTACGAAAACACAAATTGGTTCCAACAAGATTGATACATTAGGGAACTGTTTGGGCATAACATAATTTCACATTTGCTGGTGTGTGATTTCAACCACTTAAAACATTAGGTGAATGCAGAAAACTGTATCCAGATGCCTTGAGCCACAAAGGAGTACAAAAATTGCACACATGTACACTCCTCAAAACTACCAGTGACCTCGATTCACTCCCTGGGCCGTGAGCCACACTCATGAGCATCTGCTGGTATCCATTTCCATCTGATTTTGCATACGGCTTCTTTCCTGACCCATAAACTGTGACCCTTCTACAGCCCACTTCCACAGGTATCCTTCAGTTCTGTTTCAATATCAAGTGCCATATTTATTATACTATTTATGTATTTCTTAACCATGTATCACATGTAAAACTGTGCGACCATTTTTTATAGTTTTCTATCTGGTTTTTTGTGGGTCACTGACAAAGTTTTGGAGTGTTGTGTCCTTAACCTCATATTTCCCATAAGTTCTATGGTTTTAATGGTCCACGTTTGCAATAGTACTACACCTAAATAGCATATCTCTGATAGCTCCCAGGTGAACACATGCAAACATATTATATACATATATGTACATATAATATTAGAATACAAGTGCGACTTTTTAACAGGAATCAAGAAAGCTTATTTTACATCTTAGTAGTGAGTGTGCCTTTTAAAGGATTTATTGAATGTGCTTGGGAGTGCTTGTTAAAAAAAAGACTATCAATTATATTAAATAAAAACCATTCAATATGCCAAGCTATATATAGATATCTCTACAGTGGATGAAGGTTTGTCATTTATCTTTTAAGGTAATTATGCAAGTTATATTCAGCCCACACATCTTGGATTGGAAAATGGTTTTTGTCTTTTTTTCCTCATTTATAAACCTTGTCTAATAAGATTTCGCTACGGTTTAGAAGGGGCAGCGCAAAGCTGAATTTTGGCAGTACCTTTACAATAAAAGAGAATTTACTTTCCTCTTAGAGTCTCTCTTTTCTTTAACGAGGGCAGACAAAACACTCAGTGCATTCCCAGAGCTTCTGCAAATTTCCCCCTTGAGAAATCTCAGTAACTCCAAGGAAAAACAACTTCAAAAAAATTAATGAAAGGCCCATCAGTATTTGCCTTCCACCTTCCCAATCCCTGCCCCTGTCTTTTCCACTTTCCACACGTCTCTCTTCAGTTTCAAACATTTTTCCTTCCCTTCTTTTCCCAAGGTGAGCTGCCATTTCCTGGCACTCCATCTATGAAAAGGGAAAAGGGAAAAGATCTTACAGAAATCACACCCTGATGTCACCGTGCTTATTTTCCTAAGCAGCAGAACAGAGAAGAACAGGGTTGGGACCATGAAAGGGTGAATTTCAGGCAAGGGTCACGCATGGACAGGAGACATCAAGACTCCAGGCTTCTGTGGACATTTCCTCTTCCTCTTGTGCCTGTGGCCAGATGCCTCTCAAATTCGAACGCTTGTTTCCTTGAGAATGTGGAGCAACGTTTGGCAAATACATTGTTGGTAAATAATTTGAGAATGTTCATCGGAAGCATGACTTTTGAGTGCACACAGGTAATTCTTAAAAATGATTCTGTACCCACTGTTGTGATGCTGATATAAATTCTAACCACCACACACTAACTCTGCGGGTCACACGTGGGTGACTCTAGCTAAAAGCCCCATGCAAGCCCCTGTGTGCCTCCAGCGAGCAGACCACAATGCAGTGTCCCAGTGCATCTGTCCACGCCCACAGGCACACATTAAACCCACAAGCCGCAGGTTACACTCCCGAGCGCTGCCCTTCTGGCCTGCCCCACCCTGTTCTTCCCTTTTCCCCCAACCCCCAGCCTCGTGGCTGCACACAATGAGATTTCTGTTTGCTCCGGTAGCATGTGACAGCGCAGTCCCTGCTTTGCCTAGCTCTGTGCTGCAGGTCTCTCAGGTAACAGGTGGCAGCTTCCCCTGTTGGATTCTAGGTATAAAGAAGAATGACCTCATAGGGGTGGAGCTCTGGGACTCCGTACAGGTGGCAGTCACAGCCAGGTAACCCCGGAGCGAAGCCGTTTAGTAAGAAGGGGGCAGTTAAACTCGTCCCTCTGGTGGCTTCAACTCTGACCCTGAGGCACTGCAGCAAAGAGCCATTGCCTACAAGTCTCCAAAGCTTGCCTTTGACTCAGATGGAGCGCAGAGAAGCCACTGGGAAAGAGAACATGGGCACCAAGAAAAAGAATCTGACCTTCTTGAGGCCCAGGCTCTATATGCTGGAGAGAAGGAAGACCGACACAGTGGTTGACAGCAGTGTTTCTGGGGACCACTCTGGTACCTTGAGGAGGAGCCAATCTGACAGGACCGAATACAACCAGAAACTACAAGGTAACCAACACAGATCATTTGTCCTAGGTTATTGCACAGCCAGCTCCGTTCTCCTACTCTTCCATTTGCAAAGAAATGACTTCAGGCAAAGGAGAAAATTCGAGTATCATCTTCTCTGGAAGGAGGGAAATAAGGCAAACAGGAAAAGTTTTAAAAATAAGAAAATGAAAGTAAATGTCACATAAATTATAGGAAAAGAATTTATTATGTGTTTCAATAGTTAACGAACCAATTCTGAATTATTCTGAATATACTTTTTTCCTGGTGAGGGTAATATTTTTTCTGCAGTCTTCCTCCCTTCCTTCTCCCTCCTGCAGCCAATTTAAGAAGTGGAAAGCTCTAGAAAGCAAATGATTTAGAAACCGACAATAGATAGTTTCTCTCAATAGATAGGTGTGGGATGTCACACCACGAGATCTATCCAAGTAATTGTGGTTATCTTAAATAGGGGCATGAAACTGCAATCATGTCTGTGAAAAATGAGGAATGTCAGTCATCGGGTTGGTATAATAGGATTTGTTGAAAATCACATAGGTGTTCATTCCTTTAGAGTGAATCGAATGGCATCCAAATATGGTAAGAGATGTTTAGCATGCTTAGATTGAATGACTTTTGAGGAAATGACTTCAATTTATTTTGTGATGGTCATAAGAGAGTTTGACATACACCAGTTATTATAAAACGTCAGTTTAAGGCCCCGAATGTCTAGCCCTTCCCATCCAACCTCTCTTTTCCCTCCCTTTGTCTTGAAGGTCACTTGTTCGAGTAAACTTCATTTTGATGTTGATTGTGCAATGTTTTAAGTATCCACTGTGGTACCTGTTATGTGATCCCCAGAACCTGTCTCTCCCGCTTTGAGCACACTGTGAGTTTGAGCTCTTATAATCCCACCACGAGCTGTCATTCTGGACTGACAGATTATGATGAGGCTAGAAAGACCAATAGAACACATTTGTACTTAGTAGATCTCTTTCCTAAAAAAAAAAAAAAAAAATGCTCAGACTTAGTTATACAAATTAATTAAATAAATTAAATGCATTTAAATGAAATCTTTAAAGATAACTACTGTGAATTAACGCTTTAAAAAAATCCTGATGGCTCAGGGTTAAAATGCAGTCAAGTCTTAATCCTTAAAGGACTTTTTAAAAAATGGGAGAGAGGTATTGTTCGATCTTTGAAATTAACTTTTCTCAAGGCAATGGATTTGTTGGCAAGAATGCAAATTTTAAAGTCATACACATTTGTCTTGCAATCCTGGCTCTTCAACTTATGACCTGTAAGATTTTGAGCAAATTACTTCTAATTTCTGAGCCTCAGTTTCCCTATCTATGAAAGTGGGACAATGAATCTTACCACATAGTGTTGCTGGGTGAATGAAATCAGATAATTACATGAAACACCTGGCATATTGGCTGAAATATGGGATGTTCCCAACAATAGTTATTTTTTTATTTTAGGAATAATGGGAACAATAATGATAGAATTAGAATAAGACTTTATTCTATTAATCAAATTTACTAATTTACCAATCTATTTCAACTCTTTTTCTGTCTTTTGATGAAGAGACCACATAAACAAAGTCCATGGCTTTATCTCTAATAACATGTTTATTCTGTCTGAGATTCACTAATTCAGCAACTTTTTGGTCCAGATTTTCCATTAGCAAATAAAAAATGGAAATTCAGTTCCTAAACTTAGTAAAAAAAAAAAAAAAATACATCGGTGACCACAACAAGACGGCAGATGTTTGTTGGTTACTTTGCAGAAGACCTCAGGCTGCTTATGTACTCCACTAGGTTTGTGGTTTCCCTGTGCCTTGTTGGATCCTGTCTTTGAAGCTAGAAGAAGACTCAGGAGTTAACAACCCATGTTCCTAGAATTGTTTGTGTAGGAGACAAATCATCAGGGAGTGGAGAGGAGCACGTCAGAGCTGTAAGACAGGTTGACCCCTGATAAGTAACACTTTTCAGACGTAACTCTTAGTAAAATCCAAGTCTGATATTAATGCCTAATAGAGCTTTTCGTAAGATTCTTCTGTAACTGCTTTGGCATCAATAGAAAACATTTTCTCATTAACATTCAAAGCAATCAGTTCTTTTGGGTTTGCACTCTGATCTGCATTATACCCATTATCATGCAGATGGATCCTAAATCACCTTAAGAAGTTTTTTTTTTTATTATTACAATGCTGAGAGTTTTTCCTCTGCCTATCTTGGAACTGGTAGTTCCCTGGGAGGCATTGAATAAAGAGCTGAGCTGGTTAGAGCCCTCCGATGGATGGCCTAAAGCTACTGTGAGGTCACAAGGAGCTTTTCAACGCTGGAAAGAGGCCTTTGGGGCTCCTGGGTGGCTCAGTCGTTAAGTGTCTGCCTTTGGCTCAGGTCATGATCCGGGAGTCCTGGGATCGAGCCCCGCATCAGGCTCCCTGCTCAGTGGGAAGCCTGCTTCTCCCTCTCCCACTCCCCCTGCTTGTGTTCCCTTTCTCGCTGTGTCTCTCTCTGTCAAATAAATAAATAAAATCTTAAAAAAAAAAAAAAAAAGGCCTTAGATTATTTAGCCAGAGTCCTTCAGTGCTGTGTTGTTATTTGAGTAATATGGTTCACTGCTCTGTCTCTTTGAGAAAATTCTCTGGGTTCTGGGAAATCTGACTTTTCTTTGGTGCCCCTGGGTTCACCTCTTAACTCATACTAAACAGTCTATTTGTTCAGTTCACTTTCTGGCTGACATCACTCTAGTAGTGTGAATCCTAAATTGTAATTTCTTTAAAAATGGCACACTGGGTAAGAGCTACTAGATTAAACAATAGAACATGGTTCTGGGGACACCTGGATGGCTCAGTCAGTTAAGTCTCCAACTCTTGGTTTTGGCTCAGCTCATGGTCTCTGGGTCATGAGATCAAGCCCCACATTGGGGTCTCACTCAACAGGGAGTCTGCTTGAAAGATTCTCTCCTTCTGGACCCCCACCCTCACTCGAGAGCACGTGTGTGCTCTCTCTCTCTCTCAAATAAATAAATCTTTTAAAAAATAACATGGTTCTAATGAGAGTATCACAAAATCTTTGTAGAAGGTTGTGATCACAACATAGTCATTAAGCCTCAAGTTTTGCAATAATAGTCCTTTGCTAGCCTACTCTTAATAGCTCCCATATTCCTTCAACAGATTTGTTCAGTTAATTGGCATTTATTGGGTATGTTATGTGGTGAACAAAACCAGAATATATGTCAGGGATTACAACTACAAAATCATTAAAAAAAAAAAAAAAAAGTCTGACCTTTACTCCAAAGGGGCTTAAACTCATTTGGAAACATAAGATAGGTAAACAAATGCAATAAAGTGGCATGAAAGAATTCAGGTGGGATCAATGAGTCCATAAAAGGAGGAAATGGTCTATTCAGGATTGGGCGGGGGAGGTTGTTGGAAAACATTGTCAAGAGTTGATAAGGTGGGCACCAGGAGAAAAGCAGAATGGGGAGAGAAGCATGTTTAACTTCTTCATCATACTGATCTCTGTCTGAAATTAGGTAGTTTGTTTCCTTGTTTATTGCCTATTATTGACTCCCACTTGTCCTCCCATCTCTCATCCCCCACTCCATGAAAGAGACCCTATCTGTCTTGGTAACTGTTCCATCTCTACACTTAGAATCATGCCCAGCACACCATAAGCATTCAGTATCTTTCAAATAGAATGAATGACTTGAACGAGCTGGTCCAGGTAGGGAATCAGTGTGAGGAAAGGCCTCGGAGCCTGAATTAATAGCCCTTGTATCTTTGAATGTGAGGATACATGTCTCCATTAATAAAGATGATTCTTCGGTAAAAAAGAAATAAACATATTAGGGATGAAAATGTACAGTGTTGCCTAGATAACAAATAATTCTCAGTGGAAGCCTATTTCATTCCTGATTCTACATTTTAGAGCACAGCAGACCCTACTTCAGCTCATTCCTCTTCTTCCATTCATCACAAGAGCTGCATCACCTTACCTTCCCAGCCAGCTCAGCTCCTCATTGCCATTTTACTGGGGAATCACGGAGAGTGATCAAGGCAGGGGAAACTTACTGGCTGATATATTAAAACTCTTTTCTTTGGGAAATGATTTTGTGTATGGTTATATGTGTGAACTATACATTTGAAATATGCCTAATTTAAAAGTTATGTACAAGTGTTTCTGTATGTATGCAGATTATCTAATCTATCTACAGTATGTAAATATAGTTGTGTATGTGTACTTGAGACATATTTCTGTAATGATTAAAACTTTTTATAAAATGTTTATTGATTAACATTCAGCAGCCTTTTCTGAAAACCCTACATGATTGATATGACTGATATTACAGGCCTCAGTGTGGGTGATATGGGATGAATGTTTATGTCCCCTCCAAATTTACATGTTGAAGCCTAATCCTCAATAGGATGTTATTTGGAGGTGGGTTTTGGGGAGATAATCAGGTCGTGAGGGTAAAACCCTGCTGAATGGGATTAGTACCTTATAAGAACAAGCATGAGAGACCTCGCTCCCTCTCTCTCTTTTCTCTGTCATGTGAGGGTCTGAAAAGACAGTCATCTGTCAGCTAGGAAATGGGCCCTTATCAGGCACTGGATCTGCCTTAAACTTGGACTTCCCAGCCTCCAGAACTAAGAGAAAATAAATGTTTGTTGTTTAAGCCATCCAATCTATGGTATATTTGTTGTAGCAGCCCAAACTAATTAAGACAGTGGGTCAGTACTTTTATTCTATATGGCCATACTAAACCTCTGGTTAATTTTTTGGCCTATGTACGTTCTTTCTTGTCAAGTATCAGGTGAAAGAATGAGAGCTGATGGGTAAAATGTCATTACTGTTGCTGATAACACAAGTCAAATCCACATCTCCAATTCATAATAGGTCCGTGGTCTTTTCTTTTCTTTCTTTTTTTTTTATTCAAAGACTATTATATCATTCTTATTAAGAAAGGATTGCTTGGTTGTTTTTATAAAAGCCTGAAGTGTTTTTACTGTG